ATCTAATCTTCTTCGGGCAGTGTTCAGAAATTTGAATACATTACCCTAGGGCGTCCCGAACCGGGCCTTCTATGTTAGAACTCAGTTTCTCGAAAACGTCTAACGGCGTCTCACAGAGGTTCGTAGGGGACTCCGATGGCAATACTCGCATACCTGATGGAACGTCCATCATCAATATTCCTTTCTTTACTCTTTTTCACTATTTTATATTATTAATTCTATCTGATAACGTTCATATTTCCGATATCCGGTACGTGGCCACTGCAATCGCGCCTCAAGCGTAGCGATCAGGACATTGTACACCCCCCCCCTGCTTTATGAGAAATTTACCTGTAGGAATTAATTTGCAGGAATGACATAGAATTAGTTCCTTTCTACTTTTTCCACATGAATCTATTTCATAGATAGGGTTTGAAATTCGACGTGTAATACTGAATGGTCCACTTCTAATTTCTTCTATCTTAGTGAAGTCCTGACCACAATCATAATGAATCTCGAAAATAAAGCCATGGTGTACCAGCAAGATATTTTTAAGAGATGGATCTATCTTTTTTTAATTTGTATGTGTGATAATCAGGTATTAGGTCAGAGAAACTATATGCCAAGCTTTCGTTTACAAACGTTTACAAATTAAACGAAAGCTTGGCATGAAGTTGGGAGTTTCTATGTTATATGTTGTACTCATTAATGGCAAATTTGTAGTTTTTCCGATTTTTATTGCACTTTTTTTTTTCTTCACATGGAATTTTCTAACGCTCTTCTTGGTCTTTATGGTAAATTGCGCTTAATTTGGTTCTCTTAGTCACCCTCGCATATGATGAAAATAAAAAATCTCGTCTATGACTTGAATTTCGTGAATTGAATAAATTGGTGATCCCTGAACCTCAAACATTCCCAAGAATGGAAGACATCACGGTCAAAGCCAGGAATGGTACTGGTACACAGTTTTAGATATAAACTCGGTTTTGTGGTCAATTCTTGTAACCAAAGTAGTTATTATATTTGACAATTATTGGTTGGTAGGAAGAGAGTTTACTGGGATTACAGACCATGAACCTTTAGAGCAGGGGTGCTCAAACTTGAACTGCTGGCGATCTACCTCAATATTTTTAGACTACTTNAAAAAAAAAAAAAAAAAAAAAAAAAAAAAAAAAAAAAAAAAAAAAAAAAAAAAAAAAAAACCATAGGCAATTTGGACATATTGGGGCTCAATTCACATTATTACAGTTACGACCACATTACTAATTATTTAATTAAGGTAATTATTTACTGCAATAAATGCCAAATATGTAAGAAAAATAAAATACGAACTATCTGTCCAATCGGGTTGCTTCGTATCATCATTTGGGTTCAGCAACTACACCATACGCAATTATGACATAGACATTGTGGTAACTGGTGGTAAATTGATGGATTTGGTGGCAATAGTTCCTTGAAACGATATATTGGTTGACCACGACAACCTCAAGTGGACAAAAGACAAATGAAAAAAAATGAAAAAATATATATGTGAGTGACTTTTTATATTAAAATTAAGGAATTATGGATTTTTAATGTACAAATTTTATTTATGATGTTTTTATGTTTCGAAATGTAATATAATAATTTTATTTAAAATTTTCTTTTAACTAAACATAGTAATTTTTCTGCGAGAATTATTTTTCCTTTGCGTTTGCGTTTTGATTGCTGGTGAAGAGTTTTTAGCCCAAGTTGACCCGGTGCGTGCTTCGACTTCTTTTACATGCTACTTTGTTTTACCATAGTTCAACAAGATTTGGTGTAGAGGATTTTAATTAAGCGAATAAACACCATTGTTGTTGTAAACAGACCTCTAACTTTAAACTTGGTTCCGGCGCATTACTTAGACTACCAGCTTTAATGATAATACTATGTACCCCAATAACTTTAAAACTCAATTTAATCAAGATTATTACAACTCTATTTTAATTTTAAATGATTCTTAGTGTACATGATATATGTAAATTATTTTTTAGATAATTTGTTTGAACAATAGGCTTGAAATTGTCATTCGGTTTGAATGATGGGTGCCAAATAATCCTTGGCCGTCATCTGTTTCTGATTTGAATGGAAAATTGCTGAATTTCGTATGTAGTCGAAATGTAAAACGACATCGGCGGCAATAATACGCCATACGTGAACAGACGGACCTTAGAATTGGAAAAAAATGGCGAGGATGAAGGCGCCGGAAATAAATTTTGGATCGGCATGGATCGAACGGTCCAGGTGATTGCCCCTTGGAAACGCTAACGGATTAAAATATAATATAATATTAACAAGGTTTCTTCGCCATATTTATCGACATTGAATGTTAACAGTTAACAATTGAAACAATAACAAATTCAAGGCAGAGTGTTGAAGACACTAGTACTAAACGTCGAAATTATTTTTTTTCTAAAAATTCACGATTTTTATGAACATAAATGGAAGCAGGTACTGAATGCTGATCCATTATCTCAGGGTCAAAAATATTTTTAATTGTATATTCAGTTACATATATGTGATACATGTTATTTGTTGGAATGAAAGTATTTATTTGCGTGAATGGAAGGGCCCAATTACCCCACAGAATATCGAGTACTGGGATAGAGAAAATATAATTTACTAGCGTAAGTGGAGCGGCATATCTCCAATTACTCCGAAAGATATCTAGTACCCTGGGGTAGTGTTGCTAACCAAACTATCATGTTATAATCTGTGTTTGTTATTTGTGTTATTTTGTCCACAATTGATGGTGCCCTGAGGTACAGAGAGGCTAGCAAAAGAGAAAGAAGAGAGAGAGAGAGAGAGAGAGAGAGAGAGAGAGAGAGAGAGAGAGAGAGAGAGAGAGAGAGAGTGTGTTGTTTACCGTTATATCACAAACCATCGGGCTAGAGAAAGAAGAAAAGAAATTATTAGGTGTAGAACGCGAGAATGATAAGAAAAGAATAGCTAAGAAAGAGAAAGAGGTGGAGATGACCAATATAGTTTGCTGGCCCTAACACGAAAGTAAATGTCAAAGCCCGGTTATTTTATACTCACATACACACCTTTTTTCTCCTATTAAAGAATCCCTTTAAAAGATTATACACCCTTTGAAGGGCAAAATTGAGCGGTCCTTTACTAATTTCATTACCTGATAATTTCGGGCCAACTCTAATAATCCGTCAATTCAAAGGCAGTTTTGTTGCAAATTTCCAAGCCGATAATACGATTGAGATTGATGATTGATAATGAAAAAATTTACCCCATATAAAAGATTGATTTGCAAAACAAATTCCTTAGCCGACGTTTTAGACCTAGTCTATATTATTTAAATATATTCCATATTTTAATTGATTCTGTTCATTTAAGTACTTAGTTCCTTCGTCGAGGAAACTATGTATATGAAACTATAATGAATTTACAAGGTTAACAAATATGAATATGAAACATGACTCGACCATGTTTGATCTCGTATGGACCGGAATAAAACAGGCGGCCACACCAGGTCTCTGCACCTCGACCTGATAGATCTATTGTGCTCCCCTGTTTTTTTTTATAACTCAGTGGCCAGCTTCAGGTAGTTAATCAGCATCCATAGCTTTGCCTTAGCGGCTCCTTAGTGTAGGATCTTGCTTGCGGTTTTTCTTGTCCTAGTTGCAAAACCTGTACCTACATAGACCTTCACTTCTTTATAATGTTTTCTGCGATCTCCTCCTCTTCCTGGCAGTATCTGCACAGTTGTTCTTCCGTCTGTACTCCTATCCAGTGCATGTGCTTTCTTAAGTGGCAATGCCCTGTCAGGAGTAGTCCAACCAGTATTGTTGCGGTTGCCTAATTCTTTTGTAAGTTTTGAATCTCATCGTGTGCCTCATACCTGTGGTATTGTTCCTCCAGATTTTGGACTCATTAAGGATCCATTTTGAGATGTATCCTCTTTTGAGGAAGGATGCTAAGCCACAGTAGGGTTCAGGACCAAGAGAATTCATGTTGCCCCCCCCCCTATTTGGCCATCATTTCAACCTTTTTGTTGCCTCTATGCCCCGAGTGCCCAGATTCCCATGCCAGGGTCTGGTCATTAGTATCACTAACGTCCATCAAGTCCTCAATGCAGTTCCCAACACTCTTTGCCTTCATGAGGATTTAGAGCCGCCTGACAGTCAGAGAAAATGGCTATCTTCTGGGAATGTATTCCTAGCCTTTTTATTTCCCTGGCGCATTGTTCAATTGCTATGATTTCAGCCTTGAAAACTGTGGCAAGTTTACCTAGGTTCATCGTCAGTTCGGTCTTTGGGTTCATCACCGACCCATATGTCAACGTCTCAAACTCTGTTCAATTAATTTCATTTTAAGACTTGAAACATAGGAGATGGCCATATTTGATAACCTTGTAAAGTAAAAATTACAGTTTCATAGCCGGACCAAGGAACTGAGTGTTTTCTTTCTAATTGGCCTCATCCCAGCTCGTTTATTTTTAATAAATATAAAGTCAAAATATTAAAAGATAGTAACTAAATGTATCAGTGATAAGAGTGATTTGATGATATACGTAACACATAAAAGTATGTCACATCTTTACAATGAGCATAGTTATTAACAGATTTATTGTTGTTACATGCAGATTATACATTTAAGAGCTGCTGTTTAATTCATCCGGCTCTTAGCCTCAAAACAAGGACAAAAATCTACATTTAAAAGAGTCCGAATGTATTTTTTAAACAATCCTAGCTTTTATAAATAATTAATATTCATTTTTTGAAGTGAAACGTACGAACTGAAATGATATCTCCCTTGATTAATGACGACAGCCAGAACGAGTGTTGTTACAAGTCAGTTAAGTGGATCAAAGCCTGTTATTTTACACACAGACTACAAACACATAGAAAGAGGTCCAAACTTATAAAAATAATTGGAATATGTTTCATTCAAAACTACCATATATATGCTTTATACTGCTGAGTAGTTTAGAATACTAAAAAATATAGAAACTATTGTAAAATTTAACTATTTTTGTTAGATATTTTTGAGGCCTTCGATACGATGTATTGATTAGTCTTCTTCGTTCATTCCATTCTGTCTCATCGGTTTTTATATTAGGTGTACTGTTAATCTGTTTGTTCGAAGTTTGCGAAAGAAATTGTCTGTCCTACTGTGAGGCAATACAGCGAAACATGTAGCGAGACTGGGTGGACGAATGACATCTGAAAAGGTCAAACAATCCTCTGTCAACGTTTTCTGGCATTGTAAATCTGATTGGAAGACTCAAAGAGAAAATTCATAAATAAATTGACAATAAGAACTACAATAACAAACTCTTCCATAAATAAGTTGGTATAATCAATCAATAATAATCAAATAATAGTGACAATAAAAACTAAAATACTAAACATTTATACTGATTATTCTACCATTTTCTGAGAAACTCTAGCTACATTTATAGATATTTGTTAATAATAGATATTTGTTACGGAAATGTAGAATATTATCTTTATAGTTTAAGATAAATTAACTTGAAAACCTAAATTGTCAAACTGTGCTTTTTCTTGTTGCGGTTATAATTATAGGAGTTCCACAATAGACCTACACAGGTCGCGGTGGAGGAAAGGATTTTTTAAATTCTTAATTAATCCTCAAAAATCTTAATAAAAATCAACCTAAATGGCCAAATTTTGCTTTTTCTTGTAGTTTGACCTTTTCCGATTACCCTGATCTGCATATACTTGGTTTGGTCAGTCCGATACCTTTTGTCTCTTTGCCATATCCAATTATTGGTTTAAGTTATTTTGTTTAAGGTGTCTGTTTTATGTGTTGGGGTAAAATGTCAGCATAGTCTAGGTTTATCTATTTGTTTTACAAACAACCCACCACTGAAGAGGACTAAAAACCTAAATTACCTAATGGCTGTAGAAAAAACAACAAGATTAGCTTAAAATGGGTTCCGGGACGAGAAGGTTCAGAAGGAGATGAACAGGCTGTCCAATTAGCCAAAATGCCCTCTAACCCATGGGACATAACCACAACAAGATGCACAGGAGTGTGTGCTTAAGTTGGAAAAATGGATCGAGAAAGAAAAACTCAAACATTGAAACTAAAAGCACCAGGTATGAGGCAAGATGAGAGATTTATAAAAGGAAGGCAAAGAAACTCCTCTCTTTCAGCAGGCAGGATTTGAGGAAAATTATAGGTCCCTACAATGCCTATTATGCACAAGGCCACTGCCCTATTAACTAACATCTACAAAAAATGAGTAAAGCAGATAATGAGTAAAGGATAGAAAGTGCGAAGAAGCACGGAACTTATGTTTATAGAAAATTTTTTTTCAGACGTATTGTTATAATTTATAGAGGGTCGACAATGTATGGTTAGTATGTAGATAATAAATTTTCTATATTTTTACCTTTTTATTTTTTCTAAAAATGGTGTTCTTTAGGCAGGGTTGTCCAAGAGACAAGTGGTTTTGATTTAGGTTATTTATTTCACATTAATGTTTCGGGCTGTTTTCCCCCTTTTTATCTGCCCATCATCAGAAAACCTTTACAAGATTTCAGTAATTTAGTTTACATTATAATTTGATAAGTATTTTTATTTAAAAATGTTAATTATTATGTTAATTCTGACCGTATCTTCTTATATAGGTTCTTCTCGTTCGTTCCGTTTTTTCTGAGGTGAGCCGATGGTTGGATATATTTCTAAGTGGTTAGGATATATCCTATTTTTATTCATATTTTTATTGTTTTATAAGATTCTACGTCTATAGATTATTTGTATATATTTTTATGTTTTTTATTTTACTAAAAGAGGTATCCATTAGCCAGGGTTAGTCCAAGAGACACGTGGTTTTGATTTAGGCTATTTATTTCACATTTACATTTCGGGCTGTTTTTCCTTTTTTTGCTGCCCATCATCAGGGAAATCTTTAAAAGAAGTACTGTCAGTTAGTTTACATTATAATTTGGTAATGATTTGAACGAGAAGAACCTACATAAGAAGGATAGGATTCAAATTTTTAAATAAAAATACTTGTCAAGAATACTCTTTTTAAAAAAATAAAAAGGTAAAAATATATAAAAATGATCACAGACGTGGAATCCTACAAAAAATAGAAATAATAAATATATAAAAACACCCTCCAAAATATCTAAATTGTCAAATTGTGTTTTTTCTTGTAATTGGGCCTTTTATTATCCTAGTCTGCTTATAAATCCATAGGATGGTCGGTTTGATGTCTTTTGGCTATATGCAGGGTTGCCTGTGCGTTATTTTGTTCATGTGTAATGAGATTTAATGCATCCTACAAAAATGACTGGTACAGCTATTACTGTTTGGAAAAAATCAATTCTAGTTTGACAGATATGCATATTCTTTTTTAAAAATATAGTTCCTATTCACAGCAAGTACAGTAACTTACTGTGAGTAGGAACTATCTTTTTAAAAAGGACTGAACACCGCACTCACTCCATCATTCATCATTTCTAATATGCATCTTGGTTTTTCCGATCATTTTGGCCTGCTTATTGTTCTTTTAGTTTCATCTATCATTAATGGGTGTGGGTTCGCGAAACAAACTGATACTTTAAGAAATAGGCCATAATTTCACCACAACGTAAAGGACACGACTGACTAAACAACTAACAGACCAACACCGAAGAAACCGAAATGCTGAAACCCGTCAGATAAAAGAGAGAGGTAAACTAAAACGATCAGACAAGTTCATCAGCCCATACATCTCAAGAAAATCCCTCACCGCTACAAATACTTACCTTCTTTTTTATCTTGATGGCTTTCACAATATAAATTAAACGACTTACTTTCAAATTATTTCCTTTCGAGAAAGTTAAACAGTGCTAATCAGCGCCAAACCCAGTACAAATGAAGTATGTTTTTATTGCGAATTTGATTATAAACCTGTAAATATAAAGTATAAAGCTTTTTCTAAGTTTCAATGTTTCAGTGATTTAATAAAAAAAACAGTAGAATATTAAAAAAATATGTTACCTGGGTTATAACATGAGGCTGGATGAACATAAAAGGAATTCTTCCTAAGGGGCTGATTATACGTGTGAAAAATAAAATTCTCTTTCGCCTCTTATGTCGTGTATTAGAACAGGAAAAGGTTCAAATAAACAGAAAAATCCTTTTGAGTATTTCGAGTCAAAAGAAGGTTAAACATTTTTATCAGTCGAAAAAAGACCAAATAAATTTTCCCGTTGTTAATAATATCTAGAAAATCGAGTGAATTTGAGCCCCGTGAAATTTAATTGACTATCCTTAATTATTTTATTGAATAGTAATATCCAATGAGGACAATCAGACCTAAAAATACAGACGGGAAGGTCTGGACAAGGAAAAGGGTGTCTGGAGGGGGAGTCACGCCTCCACCCCCGGCGTACAACCCCTGTAACAACCCCGTCGGGCTTCCAGTTCAGTCCTTTTCCAACAACCGATGGAGCCGCTACTCATCGTCCTTCTTCTCTCCGGGATCGCAGCCAACTCCGAGACAATAGGTACTGTTACAAATTTGTTTTTAGAAAACTTTTTCCTCATGTCTTAAAATTATCAAGGTCAAAATTATAATAATTGTGCATGTGAAATATTAGAAAAAAGTGGAGGAAATGAATTTTCAAATTATTTAAACGTGTGTTTGGTCGCATTTTGATTTTTATAAAAAACAGATTTTTTTCGTGACAGTGCGTTATTTAAAAACCTAATTTTCTATTTTATCAATTTTTAAAAAAAAGGATAATACTAATCTGGCATATCACATCGTCATTTCTTAACGCAAATCCAAAAAATTGAATTTTTACTCTTTCTTTCTTAGCTTGTTAAAACTGTTAAACAAATTATTTTACTTTGACATTTAACGTGTTCATATTCAGAATTTTTTAAAAATTATTTACAATCGTCATATTATTGAAATTACAAGAAGCGACGTACCTTTGTGAAGGGGGTGGGCGTCTGCATGAATTATGCACTTTCACTCAACTTCAAGTCTTTAGATTTCGATTTTCTTTGTTCAAACATTCGCCCCCTTTAAAGCAAAGGGCAAAGAAACACTCTGTTGTTTTTTTACACAGAGTTACGCTCACTTAAATATATTGTGATTTGTCATTAGTTAAACTGGACTTGTTTCGTTGTTGAACACGTGGATGACAAAAATTTTTAAAAGTTCTATCGTCACTTACGATCCGCTGCTTGTATTATTTAAAGTTCAACGCATCCAGGCAATTTTTGTAGATATTTAAGCGTTTGCGAATACATATTTAAAACATACTAAAATATATAATTTTGTAGGTAATATTGAATTGATTATATGGAGATAGTGAGATGCGGTCTGGTGTGGCGTAAGTTTTAGAAAAACGTTTTCTTTATCGTGCCAACGTTTCGATCATCTTCAGGGCTCAAAGTGTTTGTTTTCCGAGTAGACGTGTCATTCTTCTGTGTTTGTTGAGAGTCCAACTGTGTATTGAATTTACAGTACATTTTTTTAACGAGGGTTCGCAACAGCAGAGGTCATATAAACCCTCAGGGTGCCGGTGTTTTTGAAAAAAAAGCCCATTTGTAAGTATGTCGGGTTCGAATGCAGGGCCGCTGGATTCGAACCCGGGACCTTACCTTATAGTGATGAGCGCCGTGTCAACGCCTAAACCGTTGCGGCCACCGACGCCCCTACAATGTGTTGCTATTGAAGAACATTTTTTTCCATGTAATTTTTCACAGGCAATTTGGTTGATATAAAGTTTTCAATTATAATTATCTCTACAAGCGTCACATATGTATTTTTAATTCTAAAAATTTACAGTTTTTTTCAAATATCAATTCAAAATACTTAATTTAATGTGTTAAATTTAAAAAAAAAAACCAAAACTGCATTCAAAACTTTTTGTTGTTTGTTCTACAAGATGTGTCAAATTTAATTGAATAGAATTTTTTTCGTTCTTTTCATTCCTGTCCGTCTATTATCGCTGGGTTTATTCAGCAATATTCGGCCAATCTTTCACGATTTCACGCTCATAGACTTGGATGGCAACCTTGAAAATATATTTGTACAATTACTAGATTGTTAAAATTTCAAATTAATGTTATAAATGGCTTTCTTTTTTTTCAAGTCAAATAAATTTTATTTTCCAAATCTTGTTGTTCCATTAGTTACCAAACAGTTGAAAATAAATTAAAAACGCAAATTAGCGATCAATATCGTTAAATAACACAACATCAATGACCGAGCAATGAAATATTTTACAAGAGCTCACTCCCATCGGATAAATTGTCAATAATGGACATTCGAAAAGAACCGTTACTGGATTTGTTCTTCGGGCTTCCTTTATAATATATTTATTTTGGCGAACCGTCACTATTTTTAGCCTTCTCAACGGGCAAGAAAAATATTTGATAGCCGAACGTTCTGGGGTGACCTGTTTAGCACGCGATGATAGCTTCAAGAAAACTCGATAAAGTGGTTGTGATTGACTCGTTTAATGCATAAGTACAGTCATGAGTCGATATCTGCACGATTTCTTACTTATTTCCATCTGGAAAATCTTAAATATTTTAAAAAGGTTTCTTGTTAATAATGAAGTTTTGATAAGAAACCGGAAATAGGTTAATACAACAACATTTTCCAGCTGCAACATATTTCATTCATTTAGTTCTAGTACAGTTTTTGAAAACGAGTAAATCGAGTTTCTCACTAAGTGAATTTAGAAAATAAAAAGAGTTTATTTTTTTAACAAATTGCATAAAAATTAAAGAGAAATCATCACCATTATTTTACAGTGGCAATATGATTGCGTGCGTATTTGTACTTTATTATACAGCATGGATTTCATTCCCAAGGGGTAATTAAACTTACAATTGTTACGCAAATTGTGGACTTTTCGCTGAGAGGTGATAGGGTCACGTGTTCCATTGAAGAGATACATCAGGATAGATCAAATTTAATCCGCCCATCATTGAATTTTATCCCTCCATCCCACAACCTGGACTAATTTCCCTCAGATTCGTCCTCTGCAGTCAACAGAAACGGTTAAATTGTGTCGTTTCCTCTAATTATCATAGGCAACAATGAAACGTATCGATTTGCGAATGAGGGAAATCATTATTTCAAGCTCAACTGCTCCGCGATATTCGAATGTTTTTTCATTTGTTTGTTTTATTATATTTTATCAACGAAATCGCCGAAAAGTTCCGGGAAATCCTCTCGAGATACTTGTTTACACGGTCACGTAAACTAGGGGAATTAAATATATATAAAAGAGTACTTTTTTTTACCTGTGGGAAAAATATGCGTAGGAACCAGCGCACAGATTTTTTGTGAATGTCTCGTTTGTTTATTTATCTGGTTCATCTATTATTTCAAGCCGTCGTACATAACACAATCCACCTAACTGACTGACATAACAAACCTGTGCCCATCCCGACCAAATGGACTATCCACATACTGACAAACGCGCTACACCAAAACTGCGACAACGAATATGTGATACAACTAACACAACTTAAAAACACTGAATAAAATTACATTAAATTCAACAATACACCCCAAAAGACAGTCCAAGATCAGTTATTCATGCAGAGGTGTTTCTCCAAAGCCTTTCCAAAAAATAATGGCTGAGAACGGAATGGTCCATCCGTTTGGATAGTTGACGACAGCACTAAGGACCAATAATAACACACGTAAACTACCAAAAATAAACACAATCATAACTGACCTGTTAGACAAAAACAGTGTGAAAATAAAATATCGATTCACAGAACATCTCAGATACTTGAAAGACAACGATAGTAAATCATTATACGCCACACACTTAATATATCACGATCATGAATGAAACGCAAAAGAAACAATCATGACTTTAATACACAAAGCACAAAAAGGACGAAAAGACAACGTACTGGACAACATACAATACAAACAAAAAACACTTAAAGACGTGTTCCGAAGTACATCTCTAATTTTATTTTTTGAAAAACCTAAAACCCTTCCAACATTTCGGAGAGAGGAATTATTTTCGAGTCGAAATTACGCTGCCGGTTTCTTGGTGATGGAACAGCATCTGATCCTAATTTCTTCATATTGCTACACGAATCAACGTTTTGTGGTTTACTCTGGAGCGTTCAGAAAATTTCTGGGAGTACAATTCGACTGCACGACGCACAATACCACCACAACCCATAAAGCAGTCGTACATATCAACTCACTGTTGATCGCAAAAATTTATTGACTTCCGTTAATTAAGATTTCCTCTCATAATGCGAGTCATAGTGCGACAAACAATGACAAAATGTAAATAAAAAAGGCACTTAATGTTTACTTTAGTGAAGAAGCAAATTATTGGTAATAACTACGAAACAAACGAAATGCTTTTTTTAAAAACTTTTTGCCATTACTTTGTCATTTTTTGGCCAATTTAAAATCCGATTGCACCATTGTTTTCATCGTAAAAATCCTTTAAAATGTTGTGTTGTGTCAGGATGTATAGGGTCGTATTTGAAAATTGAAGTTGAACAGGGCCTGAGATGCCCTTCCTAATTTTTCTACAAAAAAGGAAAAAATTTGAAACTAGACTAAAAAGATAAACAAGTAATTTTGTTTTTTTGATAGCGTAATTGGTTCAAAAGAAATTCAGCCGGGCCGCCTAAAAAGGACACTGTATTTTAAATGTAGTAACATGGAAAAAGAGTTAAAATTAATTTTGTTTACTTCAAGGACTCGTTACGGTAAGATGCGTTAATTTACCCTCTTCTAACCCAGGTCCGTTTGTCAAAGTGGTGCTTTATAACCATTTTAACATTTACTAATTCTGCTCCTAATTGGCTGAAACTGAGATTTACAGGTAAGGCTGACCTTATGATAGCATTTATTTAAGGAGAAGTAAGGTCATTTGTTTGGCAAAAAAACTTTTCCAGCCTCGGAGGCAGAGGCTTTTCTTCGTTGCACAATTTTTCACGACAGAAAAGTTTCAAATCTTATTCTCTTACTTCCAAAGCGGCAGGTGCTCATTAACACCGGACAAACACGGTTTCCATGAAAGTCCACTAAACTAAGTGGACAAGCTGATGCCATCGGCCATTCTCAATGTGCTACTGCACAGGTTTGATACGTAACTTTTAACTTAAAATGAAATGAAAAATGCAAAACGAGTTAAAAAAAAAAAAAAAAATTAAAAATTAAAAATTAAACAAAAATATAAGAAATAAACAACAGAGGAGGCAAAATATTAAAAAAACATTTCAAACAGTATTCCCTCATATTCAAACAATGATGAATAAGCGCTACCGTTTTTAATATATCGTTAAAATTAAAACAAAATTGTTTTAGGACAGTGTTTTTGTAAAATTTTTTCAAACCCAGTTATAGATTTCTAAAATGAATTCGAATTTTCGTGTTTATTTTAACCCTCATGTAAGTCCTTTTTAAATATATATGATTTTAAATAATAGTTATGAGATCAAATTCTGATAATCCGTTGCAATTCATCATATTATAAAAAAACTATTGGAAACCTCTCGTCCATGTCACCCAACGGGTAGTTAGACGTGAATTACTTTACTCTATGTAAAGTACTACTATGTAATTTGTTTACGTTTTTAATTAAAACTAACAAAAGTTCAAAAGTACATAATA